ACTCTTTAATTGTTATGAATTTTTTAAAATTTGAAATTGACGAAAATTCTAATTTTCTTGAATTAAATAATATCTATACCTTAAAATTTTAAATGCTATAATTTTAAATTTTTTACCGAATATTCAAACTATAATAAACAATGTTTGTTTTTATGTTTTTTTACGTTATAACAATGTGCTTCCTACTCGCGTGTTGTTTTAGAAAGAAGTACTTCTATCTCACTTCCAACTCAATGTATTAGATGGGTAAGAGAAAGCCCGACGCGCTGAATCAATTTTTTGCTGTTTTTCAGAGGAAATAAGTTTAAAAAAATTATTATTAACATTTTTCATAACACTTTGTTATATTTCCCGAATAATAGTTTTGTATCATGTGATTTTTTTTTACTTTTTTAGATACTTTTTTATTTATTAAAGTTAACAGAAACATTTATTTTTAACATTTATTTTTATTCATGAAACAATTATTGTCAGATACTGCCTGAGAAGTAAAATCTTCTTCAACCATTTTTTCAATACGATAAAAAGGCCAAATGCACTTGTCGTGATCCGTAAAAAATTTCTACCTGTTACAATGAACATAGTAGGCTTACTGGGGTTATAAAATTTCATGATTTCAAAAATATCCTAGCCTTTCTCCATTTAACAAAAATAAGGAAAAAAAAATTTTCTAATATTGAGAGTAAGTACTATAAATATTAAATTTTTTTATGACTTTCAATCTTTTGCACTATGAATACAATAAATAGGCAAAGGGACTTATTTCGTATTTTGAAAAAATTTTACGTTTTCTTCTATTTTTTTTCCTGTCATAAACAATTTTTACAACCATCCAAATAGAAAATTCAACCCTACCTTATAATTTTTGGTTCGTTTTGAAAATTATTTTTCAGCTGTTAATCAGTCTTGCTCGATTCTATATCTACTGGTTTACTTGCAGTCGTGTAATTTTCTGAGTAATAATATCGCTCTCTTTAATTCCAAAAAAAAATTAAATTATCTGACGACAAAAAGTGTTTATTTTGTGATCATGGCGAGGCGTTAGTGAAGTGTCCGAAACCTGATACATATTTAAAATTAAAAAATGCAACTCTTCGTCGAAACGATAACGTGACTGTGCGATTTAATTTGTTGTTTAATGAAAATACTAGTGAACAATCTTTTTCGTGGCATCGTGGCGCGTAGGAAGCATATTGTTATAACGTAAAAAAACATCACAACAAACAAAAATTTATTTAGGTAGTTTTGTTTACTATAGTTTAAATATTCGGTAAAAAATTTAAAATTATATTATTTTAAATTTTAAGGTATATTATTTAATTTAAGAAAATTAGAATTTTCGTCAATTTTGGATTTTAAAAAATTCATAACAATTAAAGGGTTGAAGATACAATGATGGGCGTAAGGACTCTTTTTATTGGAAATATCCTAAAGAATATAAAAAAAAATAATTGCAAAAAATGCATTTTTTCTGGCTTAATTAATTTTTCGTTGTTTAAACAATAACATCAACAAATATCGAGTGTCATCTTACACTTTTGTTTGTGTATGTTATGATCTAATTGTTGTATTTTTTTCCAAGAAACAGTACCTAATTTATTAGCAATAAAATGTCGGGATATCCCGGAAAATTGTTAGTCTCCTTAGCAAAAAAACAAAATAACTCAGCTAAGTATATGTATACATTCGCTTTAAAACAGAGTACAGGGTGTGCTAATTTAGTCTTTTTGATAGAGTTTCTCTCATAACGCAGTAATAATTTAATTCTATTTGAGGCCAAATTAGCTAATGGTATAATATTTTAAACAGATGACTTAAATCAAGATTTTCATAAGATCAAACATGCCAATACTGTTTATGACTTGGACCAAGATAGAATATTAGAGAGTTTAACGCCTTTTGATATACATTCTATTCCCATTATATTTGAGGAAGATATTGACGCTTGCTGTACCGACACTTATTCTACAAGTATTCCATCCGGCGCAATCAAAGTGCTGGGAAATTGTAATGAAGACACTGACCTGAAAAATCCCGATGGCATTACCGAAATAAACAACTATTCTATTAGCGTAGGCAACGAAATCGAAATACAGAATCTGAGAGACCCAGGTATCGGTAATTGGTATAGCCCGAGCTGAAACTATATTTTTGTTTCAAGGAACAGATTCTAGATGGCGCTGTACACAACAATTTACAGAAATCTACAATTGATGGTGGAAAGAGTGGGAGTGTCATTTGTCATTGTCAGGCATCCATTATCGATTACCTCGCGGTGAATGACATTTGCCATTTTACCTGTATTTTTTGTGATTATCAATATCATATTGTCAATAATTATTATTTGTTTGTATTTGGATGTTCTCTGGATCCTGGATGAATAAATAGTAAGTATTTTGTAAATAATTGTTTATTGTATTGTCAACTTGGTCTTGTTCAATTGTGTTTTAAATGTTCAATTTGTTTACTTGATCTTGCTGACGATTGAGCTTATTTTAAAATTTTGTGGTAATTTTTAGTTATAAAAGCTGTAATATATCGTATTGTTGTATGCCAAATTGTTTTGTAAACACTCTGAAATCCTAATAACGATTTATTTCAAATTTGAGTATTGGGTGTTCGCAGTCCATTTTTCAAGAATAAAACAACAAATTTGTAAAAACTATTTAGTATGTGATAAACATTTTGAAGATATGTTTAAAGTTTTTGGTGCACGCAGCGATCTAACTGTATTTTTATTTGTTCTAGTACAAACTTTTTCAAGCCGTTTGGAGTGGCAGTATTGCATCATTGAAGACAAAAACAGCCTAGTCAGGGAAGTAATAGTCACTGTACTTTTTGTATTCATGCCTCATATTTGATTTTTATATTGATTTAGTTCAGATTATTACTTTTACTGTTTTTTATTTGTTCTAGTACAAACTTTCTTCAAGCCGTTTGGAATGGCAATATTGGATTGTGGAAGACAAAATAGCCTAGTCCGGGAAGTAATGGTCAGTATACCTTTTTTTATTTATGCCTCACTTTCTGTGCTCCCCAACAGATTTGAGGGGTTCAGGAAAAAAAGGGGCCTAGTCACAATTACCAAAATGTTCAGAAAACCAAATTTAATTTAGACTGACTAAATACAAACTTTTGATACTTTAAGGAAATTGATTACAAAAAGATTGTTTAAATGTTACCTGATTATATTGTGGTTTACCACTTAATTTACCAGAGTTGTAATTTTTTGTTCTAAATACTGAAAATGACAAACAAACAGTAGGAAAGTCCTTGGACATAATTTTAAATGCACTGTTTTGCATTTGCTAATACTGGTATTTTACAAAATAGGGCGGACCAGTTCAATTTTGATAAAAATGTGGCTTAGCTGCTTTTTTCTTCCTGTACCCTTCTTGATTTATAAGTTGATTAATATTTATTTTTTGTTTTAGATAAAACTCTTTAACCTCTGTGGACAATGACTTAACTTTCCAGCTAATTAACACGCTACATTTAATTATTCTATTTTGTATGTTTTTTTGTTTTAATAAATTAATTTTGTTGATCATGCTTTTTAATTTTTTGTAAAAATATTTTAACTTGTAGTCAAGTTAGGATTGGTTCATACTACTCATTTTTTGCTTTATTGTAACAAATATAATTTTATTGCTACAATAAACGTAAAAAAGGAGTCTGTATGAACAAATCTTAATTTGACTACCACTTTTAAACTAAATATTGAAGGACCATTTTGAATGTTCCCGCGTTTTGTGTTAACTAAAGTGACCGCGAGATGGCGCCACTTCCGCCAAATAGTTCAAAGAACGCTCACCGGGTGTTACAAAACTGTCTCAAATTTTAACATTGCAGTTTCCATTCTAAAAGTAATTGTTCTGTGGAGAGACCCTGACCGAAGACAGATGGACGATGAAGGTACTACGTCACAGACTGTAGAGATAGATCAAAATGAGATACCTGAAAACAAAAATCCGCTGAAACCAGACTACGGTAACATGTTAGGAGTACTAAAACGAAGTATTAAGCGTCAAGAAGATATGTGGGGCAAAACTAAAACAAAGCGTCAAAGAACAGAAGGACATATACATGGGTTACAGTAGAAAAGATGGTAAAGTTAGTCATAATATTCCCAGAGAGGCTAGGAAAAATATATTTGAGTAAAAAATAAGCACTGTTCAGAAATACTGAAAGAGAACGTCTTAAAAAATTTACAAGTTTATGAAATGGAATGAATTGGGACCAACGTAAAATTTTTCTTAGAAACCATGTAACAAAGAGCAATTCAAAAAGAACCTATACGAAAACAGAGAACAGCAGGTGAAAAAATACGTTGCAATATTTTTTGACTGTAAATAATGAGAAATTACAAGTTTGCAAAAAGATGTTCCTAAAAACATTGTGCTTGGGCTAATTTTCAATACAGGATTGGGTGAAAAAAAGGAGATCTTGGTATGATGACTTCCACAGAATTCAACAAACAAAAGAAAAAACCTTCTTTCAAAGCAGATACAGATGCCGATAAAGAAAACCTCAAATAATTTTTTGATAAGTTACCTAAATTACCATCACACTATGCTCGTTGAACAGTTTAAGTCACCTCTTCAATTTGTATAGGGAGACATGTAATAATGATAATAGATCAGCCCAATCAAGAACAGTATTCAATAGTATGTTTCATTCTAAAAATGTATCTTTATATCCAATAAAAAAGAAGAAGTGTGATTTATCTACTAAACATGAAGTGGGACAACTTTCAGATGAATAATGAAGTGTTCATAGGTTCAACAAGGATAGGGCTTGCGATGAGAAAAACAAAGATAAGGAGAAAGCAAAAACTAATACAAGAGGACGTGTTTTAACAGTTGATTTGCAAGCAAGTCAAAGTATGTCCATTCGTTCAAGCCAGTGCCATTTTTTTAGGCAACTATGCTGTCATAATTTCACTGTTTATGATACAGTCTCTTATCAGGCAGCGTGCTATTGGTTCACTGAAACTGAGGCTGATATGATAGCGTCAACATTTGAGTCCTGTTTGCTGAAGTATTTGGAAATAAAATGTTAAAATGAATCTGGCCCAATTATAATTTACAGCGACGGATGCACATACCAAAATCGAAACAGCATGATGTCAAATGCCTTACTCAATTATGCTGTTGTTAATAATGTGGAGATTGTTCAGAAATTTTTAAAAGTTGGGCATACATAGATGGAATGTGACTCCGTCCACAGCTGCATTGAAAGGAAAATAAAAGGAAAAGACATACATGTACCCAGCGATTATTTGCACATTTCAAAAGAAGCAAGATCTAAACCAGCCCCTTATGATGTTGTGTGCATGCAGTATACAGATTTTAAAGACTTTACTCCAAAAAAATTTCACCGATTTAATTCTATCAGACCAGGCAGAGTAAGTTATTGCTTAATCATTAACACCATTAAGTTTATAAATTGGAATTATGTTCTCCTTAAGGTTGGTAATGATCTCGTAGTAACGGACATCAGAGCACTTAAATATTTGCCTAATGAAAAATTTTTTTACTAACTTGATTTTGATGCTGACTGGAAAGAGCTTCCACAGAGACCAAACCACTTGTTAGCAAGCCTTAAATCCGTTATACCCAGCGACTGTCATAGTTTTTATGACAACTAAGCTTATAGTGAAGTTTATTAATATTTTCTAACCATTGTGAATTAAGCCCAGTTAATAATAAAAATTACTGTTCCTAAAGTATTTTGTCTATAAATTATGAACTGCGTATCCTACTCCAAAAACAAAATTTTCACTAGTAATACCACTAGAGGTCAAATTATTTCCGGAAATTTTTTCGAGCTCATGAAATTTTCTAAAAATATTCATGAGCGAGAAAAAATTTCCTGATATTAATTTGACCTCGCGTGGTATTCGGTAAGAAAATTCCAAGCCGAATTATGGTTGAAAATTAAATATTTTTAAAATTTATTTTTCGTTTCTCAACAATGCAAATTATTTTCTCCAAGTCACCAGTGAAACATAAAAGGTGTTGTCGCCTTGATTGTTGAGTTGTCATGGTAACTAAGTGAGACCCTAACCTCGAATATAATTTCAGTTTTGAAGTTGTCAAGCGGCCCGACGTAAAAAATGTTTCGCTGCAATTATATAGGCCTTCAAATTGCTTATTTCTACTCATTGTAGTTGCATGGGAATACCATTTGAAAATAGAAAATAGTATATTCTTTAATTTTACGTAAGTTTTGAATAACTACAAGTGGTAGAAAATTGTTTTTCTGCGTTTTTATTAACATGCGTTATGAGCGCTTTAAAATGGTATGAAATTCATAACCAGCGTCAGCAAGCATCAATCGTAGGAGGCTGTGATCATTGTATTTTGACAGTTCAAAACATTAAATAACTCGCGTTTTGTTGCGATAAAGAATATTGCACAGCAAGTAAAACCAACAAAATTATCTATTTGTTTAAAAATGAATCGATTTGAAAATCATACGCTATGCAAAATATTCGTGAAATTGTCTGATGTAATGATCAATCATTGCACCATGACTTACTTACTCACTCGGATTAATAGAGGATTGTGGCTCCAACTTGAAAAACGAAAATTTGTTCCGAATTGTCCACGAATATTTGCACCTAAACTACGCAAAATTCAAAGTGCTGAATGGGAAAAAGGTGAATAAATTAGTGTCTAAATATTATATATATTTTATTAGACATAGACACATAATTCAAAGCATCCAAAGTCCTGCATTTTCGCCATTAAGAAGAAAATAAGTGGCCAAAGAATATAGAAAACACCTTAGAATTGTAACTAAAATGTATCAAAACTAAACCTATTATGTGAACAAATAAAAACCAGTCTGTCAAAAATGGTCTGTTATTGTAAACGTCAAAAAATTTCCAGTATAATTCGCTGTTGGGTACCCCACGAGAAAAAAATTTCCACTAAAATACCTCCGTTGCCATGATGATCTGTCAAAAACACGTATTTTGATTGGTTCAAAATTACAGGTGTGGAATTTCCATTATAATACCTCGTATGCCGCGCAAAAAAATGTAAAACAAATTAAAATTAGTACAAAACTTCAATTTTTTATAATGTTTAATGTCACAGTAGATTTCCTAAAAAAAAAACAATACCTACGTTAAATAGTTTAAATAAAAACATTTTTAAAATAACCAAAAAAGGTTGATAGCTGTGTGCACGTAGTTTAGATTCAAAAGGAAAAACTTGTATTTCGTGCAAAACTTTTTTATTAATCAATGCAAAGCGCTTTCGGCTTATTTGCCATCATCAGTGCTCATTGTCCACAACGTATCCAACAAGTTCCTGGTCATCCTCACTCCCAAAATTATATATTTCGGGATATTTACAACTTGCTAAATCATAATTTTATTAATATTAATATTTTCAAATTTAAATTTCTCTCTTCATTTTGGTTCAAGTTGTTTAACCGTTTCCACATGACAGTCTGTTTTTCCTTTTGAAGGAAAAACATTTTTTGCTTCTGAAAAATTAAATTTTTGGGCTTGGCCTTAACGACGATATACGTTAATTTTGATTTTGGATGAATATTTGGAAATTTTTACGTTTTTCTTTTACTTATATTAAAAATTAACCAATTCTCGACCAACTTTCTAGAAAAATGTACAATAATTCCTATGTTAAGGACGCAACAAAGTGGCAAGATACGATAAAGAGAGAATGAAGCTGTTACAATACAAAGTTTTGAATACATGACAGCGCTAAGGGCATAGATTAGGGGAATGTGAATAGATGGAAAACTCCATAGTGAATTTCTGAGGTGATGTGCTGTCATATACCAAACTAGAGTGGTACTAAATTCAATATGGTCCTTAGAGGCGGGCTTTTTTAAAATTTAGTTTCTGCTAGCTGGGAAAAATTTAATGAAGAAAATCACCGAAAATATAAATTGGCAAAATATATGACTAGGTTTAAATCATAAAAGATTCATGAATGCTTGCAAAATAATTTTTTTATTGCTATAGACGTCTAGAAGCAAATAATTTCATTGCCAGTACAAAACTCCATCGAACTGGAATGTTAGTTAGAATTTGACAGGTTAGAGGACAGTTCCACTTTTTTGCAGTCAGATGAGGGACTATCAATAAAAATTAAGACAGATACAAGGTGTTAAAGATGAAATTATAAAATTTTAAATTAGTGGTTTAAGACTATAAAACTATATGATTTCGTGTTTTTATCGGTCTCTTTTGTCCGTTAAATTTTTTGGTTATTTAAATTAGCGACATTTTGATCAGAAAATGTTAAAAAAACGTCAATTTAACAAATAAAGTTATAATTATTAATAATCCCAAAAGATAACAGTTTTCGTTGTAATCGCAATTTTGAAATCATAATACAAATATTTTGAATACATGATGTCTGTCTGTGTGTTACGAAATTCCCTAACCCATCGAATTTCACTACTTTAGAAATATTAAAATTTTATCTCTAGGATACGGTTGAAAAATTTTAAATTTTCCTTTGGGAAACTGGTTATCCAACAATTTTCTGGCTGGCCAAACTTTTTTTCGACAGTGGATTTATCCGTTTCGGGAAATTTCATTTCGTTTGTAGAAAATATAAGAAAAAAACCTTAATTTCTCGAATTTCCCAAGTTTTCCGAAGTAATTTTTCAAAAATATATAAAATTTGAATATACTACTTGACATTTCCACAATCTGTCATCAAAAGTTTTCCGATATCTTAAGCACATTTTCTAGGAAAATTGGGGAAAATTTTGGGTCGAACGATAGTATTCTATTTCTTGATCTAAGAATTAATTTGGAAAAGCTTAAATAAAGGCGTTTATTTATCTTTTAAGTATGAGTCATAATTACGAAAGCAAACATTTTGTTTCAAATTCCTGAGTGCACAATAATTTGAATATTTTAAAATTTTTTTACAAAAAGAGGATGTTTGAAGTACATTATAGCATAGGTTTTTCATTGAAAAATTAATATTTTTACCACTATACAATTCTGAAGTTCGATAAAATTGTTAAATCAAAAATTTTTTTATTCAAAACTTCAATTTAATTATTCTTTTGTTAAAAAATAAATAAAATAGGTATATAAATTATTGCAACTTCAGGAATTAAAACAAATTTGAAATTAACAAGTTCGATTATTTTCATAGTAAAGACAAAAATAGGTTTTAAATTAAATTTAGTTTACATAATTGATTGTTTGTAGGACTTAAAAAGAAGAGCATTGCATTTGGAAGCTGAGCCAGGCCCTTCAAATAGAACTTCAAATAAGGAATCTATCCTAGAAAGCCCTAGCATAAAACGGTTTAGAAGACAACTTTTACAACAATTAGAAAAGAACAAATAAAAAACAAGACAAATCAAAGTTCTTTAACAAAAACTTAAAAAATATAAAAATAGAATTGTTTTGCTAAAAATTTTTGTTATTATACGAAATTAGTATTATTTAAGGGTCAGTAATAAATTTATTTTCAATTCTGTATAATTTTTCTTACTAGCTTAATTTAATAATACTCAGATAGCACACTACATCTTGACGTCTAGTTCATGTCTTACTTTCGTCCAAACGTTCTGGTACGTAAAACGGACGGTTTTAAGACGCCCTGCTCAGGACATATTTAAAACGTTTTTGTTGGGATGTTTTCAGGACGTTTTAAATATGTCGGTAATATGGACGTTCAACTGTTTTCGTTATATTTAAATATGGTGCCACGACACCGTCCTTGGCGCAGCCTGCAGCGCATGTATTATCGTCATTCGTCATTGTCATTGGCTGATTGGATAGTCTCATGCGCGCGTATCGAGCCGTGTTCTTCCTCTAGCTGCCTTCTTCTCGGGACAGCTATTGTATAATATTTTTAGCGTCAGTCTGTGTACATTGTCATTACTTTTTCGTGGTTGTGTGTTTTTATATATTGCCTTTTTATATTGTTTATTTGCCATTATTGGAACTGTGGTATACCGGAACTAGTAAACTTTATCATTAAAACGGTAAGTTTTAATTTATTTGCCGTTTAATTTCATAACCTTACTTTAATAATGTCTTATTTTTTATAAAAACACCTGCATAGTTCGATCTGCCAAGGTTTTCAGTCTGCTGATAAATTTATGTTTTGTCAAGCACCATATCTGCGTGGTCTATCCATAGGTACGTCGAGGTCACCAAAATGTTTTGTATCGTTGGTTCTTTTAAAAATAAAAGGCTTTTTATGAGTTCGGACTTTTACTCTTTTTATAGTGTCAAAATTACTAATTACATTCTTTTTTAGACAAAACAAATTAATACCACTATCCGTAAAAGAAGTATCAGGTAGTATCAAAGTATAAACTAATAACATAACTAATAAATAAATAGTCAATCGAGTGTAGATGACACGACAGTACCTTAGACTGTGATATACTGTCCTTTGTGATTGGACATGCAAAGCTCTAACACCCCAGTTATAATGCTGTTTATCACAAATTCGTAATAATATTGTCAATACAACTTGATAATGTAGATGTTATTCGAGTAGGCTCGTTAATAATAGTTCGTAAACCAAAAGAACTTAATAAATAAGGTAATTAACAATTACAATGTTACCGAAATAGATGTAAACAGATTTTCAAAATTCACAAAACAACATTTGTATCACCTTTTTCAAACATATAGTCAAACATATAGTCAAACATATAGTAAAACATATAGTCAAACATATAGTCAAACATATAGTCAAATATATAGTT